CACGCGTAAGGGCAGGGTAAGCTGCTGGTACGTGCGTGGTCGGCGGCGGAAACCCGCGTCCAAGCCGGTCCGGTTCTGTCATTGCGATCACGTACGCGCAAAGAACGGCGACGACTACCGGTCCCGGAGTCGGACGCGCGACGGCTGCGGAATACTAAAAAAAAAAAAAAAAAAAGCCCCCCCGGGGGGAGGGGGGGGCACAGAGAGAGACCACCACATGCTCGCCGGTCGTATTTCACTTTTCAAACGACACCGGTTCGGCGCAGTAAGCGCGCGGTCCGTCTGCTCACGTCCTCCGTACCCGTCCGGCTGTTGCGGACCGTGTGCGCCAGAGGGAAAACCATTTACGTTCAACAACAATTGTAATGCGCGCGCGCGGCTCTCGATCCTGGTCTCTCGTCCTTTCCGTGCGACGCCGAACGTCGGCGAAAAACCTTGAAGCGCGACATGTTGAAACCGTACGTTTCTATGTTCGTTCGGTCCGAATCATGCCGAGGAAAATCACTGACCTCGGTAGGTATTTGTGTACGGTTACGACCAGACGCCGCGACTTGTTACACTTCAAGGGAAACAATCGCTCCGCTGCGCGAGAAGTTCCCGGACGGGCTAATCTCGTTGCGTGACCAAAGCTGCCCACCTCGATCCCGCGACTTGACGCCGTGTGATTTTTTTTTCTCATGAGAATACACCGGAGTCACGAGTTCACCAGAACAAGGTTCGAAATGTTTTGGAACTCAAGCGAGAAATTCGTCGTGTCCTCGACGAACCTGATGGGACAATGTGCGATCGAGTGATGGTACATTTTATGGAAAGAATAGTCGCCTGTAGGGCTGGCAGGGAGGGTAATATGCCCGACATTGTTTTTCACCGTGTTAAACCTTAACTTCTCCCGTAGAGAATGATATATTTGTTACGTTTTTTTTTTTTTTTTTGTTTTAAAGAAATAAATTTCATTTATAGCAGATTTAAATCCGGCGTTATTTTTGAGACACCCTATACAACGATGATCGAATCGTACATCTATATATTATCGTTTTAAAACCAAAGCCATGTGTGGCTAATATCGATCGTGTGGAATGTTTCGAATCGTGCACCTTACAAAACAAATTCGAAAATACAACGAAATACGTATCAAGAACATAAAAATACATACGGGTTTACAATTTTTTTTCGCGCTATATTTGGTTAGAAACGAGAACTAACATTATACGATATTATGATGCGCAAAACATTATTTACGATCGCTCAAGGACTTAGTTTTCAGTTTTTGTTCTCATTACTATTCGTGCGGTCACTTGGCTCGGACTGGGAATCAAATACGTGTCACTGGAAGTAGTCATAGTCAATACAACCCCCAAATTATTTTCAAACAACTTAAACCTTATAGTGTCATTTTATTCCACTGTCGTAATAATAAATTGAGTTAGTACTTATACATAAGTCTTAATAGGGGCTGTTTTTCGACATTTTAACTGAACTTATCATGATCCGTAATAATTACTATGAGTCTATATATGCCTATGTGTCCCACCAATTAATTGTCTAATAAGCCTATTAGATGTATGATGTCGACATCATACAATTTAGATCTAATACCAGTACGGAATCCAATTTACTTATTTAATCTTATTTAATTTGTATACTGTCACTTTTTTATACCGAATGCTTTTCGGTTTTTAAAGGAACAACTAATTAAAACCGTTGCTTTTGGATTTGTGGTAATCATCAATCATGGGTACCCTTTTGGATTTTTGGTGGTCACCAGTCATGTTCGCGTGTGATTATTAGTATAAAATAAAAAAATTTTTTTATATTATAATTTAAATAAATTACTTTCCGTCACTCTCTACATTATTTTTCGTCGAAATACATTTTATGATCGTATTCAACCACCGTAAAAAAAGTTTAGTTTAGAACTAAAATCATAATATGGTATATTTAGTAAAGAATTTTAATATTGTATATTATAAACGTTTGTTCAAAAACTGCTGAATAATTTAAATTGTTTCAGAATCAACGAAATGTATATAAGCTGTCCGTATTTTATTCATTTTCGGCATGGTATTTAGACAGACCGACGATACACAGCAATATTGTCCTGATCATACTATAGAAATATTAGAATCCGTTTTTAATCAGAAATAAAAAAAAACAAATAATTTAACACTCGGTATAATGATGCGGGGAAACAGTTTTGGTTTTTGAAGAAATTCGTCAATCTTTTCTTTTTTTTTTTTTATCATACCACTGCTTGAAAAAAAAAGACTACATTTTTTCATTCAATTTATGTCGACTCTATTTATATTTTATTTTGTTTACTAAAACTATATTTCTCTGTTACCTACTAACCCTTGCTCCCGACATCATCCTGCATAATGGTTGTACAATATACGAATGTGTTAATAATGAGCGTGCAAATATCGTGATTTCACCTTTATTGTTATAACTATTTTCTTTTAATATTTATTAAATGCTATGAAACTTTACCGTATTCATATTATCAGGCATTTATTGTAATATAATACTTACACGTTAGTATAATATTAAAGATAACATATTATACATTATATGTGTATTATGTTATTGTTGAAAGACGATTATCCATGTGGACTATAGCTTCCGGTATCACATAGGTCAAAGCGTATACCTACGTACATAGTGATTGTTTTTCAACAATATAGTTTAGTACAAAGTATTGACTGTTTAATGACCGTATCATCGTATGTAGATTGTCAATTTGATGAAACCAATAGCGATTTATTTTTACCATATATTTAAGGAATGAACACCATCTTAATGATGCATATTATTTAAGTATGAGAAGGAAAATCACAAATTGTTTCCCAGGTATTAAGGCCACATATATTATAAATATTGTTTCAAATATTTATTTACTATAACTATTTATTACTTTGTTATTTTGCGAAAATAATATAATATAGGTGTGTAACCGTTTTAACACTAGATGAACTTCGATAAACATCGCATATTTATGTAACAGTTTAAACGTATATGCCGTTCGCAAGTTGCATTGAAAATGAAAAAAACAATTCCTGATATAGCAATATGTGTAATATAATATTTAGTCATACATCTTGTTGTACGTAAAAAAAAATATGTTTACCTTTAATGAGAAGAGTTATAATATTTTCATAATAAAATAAACAACATTATTTATTTATTTATTATATATATATTTATAATATATATAATAAATACATAATATATATTTTGTCTTATCTTGTCTTATTCAGTAAAGATGATAAATTATTTAATAACTACAACGGTCATATTTGATGACGTTCAAGTAGTTGTGAGAACATTTTTCGAAGAAATAATATTTCAAAGATCAGCCATGTGTTTAGAAATTCATAAACGATTACTCTGCTGTAGAGTAATCGTTTATTACTAAAATTATTTTAGTCCGATTTAAAGTCTACCACATAACCATGACCATAGGCGTGCACAGACCTGTATTTCAGTGGATGCCTACTAACTAGTATTAACTACAACTTAGTAGTTCCAACGTTTGGGCTCTATCTTAGTAAAAGATGTAGGTATATTTAATACATGTTAATGTATAAGCAATTCAATTTAAACTAAATTATAATAATACAATTTAACATAACTTTAATTTATTATTTAATATCGGGGTATATTAGTCCCAATGAATATGTTTTCTTTGAATCTCCTATATTTTAAGTAGTCGCCCAAAAAAAAAACTGCAATGTTCAAATGGTCGAGATTCCATCAGCAAGCACGGTGATGATTCTAAAAAAAAAAAAGTTGTTTTTTATGGCTCGAGGAAAAAAAAGTTTGGCCACCACTGTTTTAAACATTTCCGCGCGAATCCAATAACACTGGTCTTTGGACAACATTTTACCGAGTTTTTACGGTTTCGCGATGAACTTCAGTAGTAGCGGCTGTCGAGCGTCACTTGTCCGACACGGAACCGGCGTAAGGTTAACTGGTTTGTTGCGCCGAGCGCAACGTCGTTCGATTGAACGGGACAAAAATATAATATTGCAACGCCCTCGAACGCCGTGTGATGAGAAGAATTACAATATTTTGTTTTCGTGTTGCGGTCTCGTACCGCGCGTGATGATTATTGCGGGTTGTTCACCCGCGTCCAGAGTTGGAAGAATAATTCGATCGGCGCTGTACGGTACGACTACTGTTCGGTGTATTTTATTTAATCGTCCACGGGGCTTAAAAACGGTATTTGGATTCAAGAACTGGATACGTTGGACCACGGATATGGACATGGCACGGTGGTGACTAGTGTGTTGACGACGTAAACTGTAAATAATGTCCCGCAAGTGATATTGTTAATAACTCAAACAAAATAATAAAAGTAACCAACTCTCATAATCACGAGGAGTATAATAAGCAAACGAGTTCTGACACCAGGGATTTTCGTCACGGGTAGCCAAAAATATATGTGCGCAATTGAGTTGTGCATTTTTGCGCAAACGGGTTGTAAAAAAGGTAAACGCGCGCAAACGAGTTGTAACCCGTTTGATTTTAGTGCCGATCCGGAGCCCTTATGTTTGTGGATGGCTGCAGCTGATCGCCTGCATAGCGTGACGTCCGTGGATCTTTTCATGTAAAATACGTATTAGAGCATTACGCTGTGCACAGCTTTTGATCCGAAACTGTGTTGGCGCGCAGAACTCAGTTGTTATAACATAGCTTTTTATAATTCGTTAATAGTTCTATTGTATTGTTTAAACTATTATTGGTTTGTCTGCGTGTTATACCAATGGAAAGCAGAAAGTGTCTAAAACCGTAGAAATTGAGGTATTTTCGGAAATCCAATGGCGCGAATTCGGGTGCGTTATTATTAGTAAATGCAAGTTGTGAAACTCTAAAATTATAGCGGTCAACATATTGTAATAATAAAATTATACAATCGACAACAGTAGGTATACTTCGTATAATGCACTCGTATGTGCATGATACGAATTTAATTAATCTTTAATCCTTGGACAGTATTCGTGTGCAATCGTCGAGTGTTACGTGCTATTCCTTTTATGAATTAAAAATGTTTCCAAACTGTCTAGACGTTATACCCATACAGCTATATTAATCGCGTTGTGCACAGCTGGTGTTCTCCAGAGTGAAATTCGACGATCTCTGTCGATCGCATAAAGATGATACTGAAAACAGAAAAATGGATTTGCCGATCGGGTACGTATTGCACAAACTATAACTATGCGCAGTGATACATAATTACGTACACGTTTCGTTTTGTCGAAATAAAAATGTATATTCATGTTCGGTGAGTGTGTAGAAAAAATATTTTGAGTTTTCCCAACGAGTTTTATAAAGAATGTTGCATAAATTAATATCATGTATTATTAATAGCGAACAGAAATAAACATCAATAGTGCATGTAATATGCGTACCTACTGTTTTTGTTTTATATTTTTGTTCTAGAATTCGAGCCAAACTATTTGGTTCTTTTCATCTACATTAGTTTGTTCGTGATGTAGTAAAAAAATATCACCAAATGTTCACCGTGCGGCTTTTCTTTGTAAACACAAAGGATTGAACACGCAGATAATTAACTATTCAGACAAGTGATTGTCTTTTTTTACGTTTTTATCAGTAGGTACAATGTTCCGATTAGAAAATACTGAACGAAAAATTGCGGAAAATATTATTCGATCGAGTTCGGTATTTGCTTATTCTAATCGTCTGGTAAAATGTGTGTTGTACCGTGATCTCATACTCAGATTACGACCAAAAGTTTATATTCTTAATCGATACACTTACGTATAGTAATCAATAACCAATATATGTCTCGTTTCAGTCCTATACATTGTACGTGTAAGGTTTTTATTTTGTCCGACGGTTCAACCAAATAATTCGATTGTTGATTATAGAGGTCGTTTTTAAAAAACATACAGAGATAACACAGTTTCAACAACGATTACGCCGCGATAATTGACAGCCCCGTAAAGGGCAAGTATAACATAATACGGAATATTGATGACTGGACTTAAATGTTAGGTTGTAATCATTCGGGTTCAATACGGTTACTTTTTAAAAACTGTAATTGAGAAATAAATTTATACGGGAATATATATTTATTACATATAAACATATAAAAAAAAAAAATGTATAATCGTAGTCGGTGAGCGTGTAAGAGTAAAATTTTGAGTTTTCCTAGCGAATATCATAAACAAATAATATAATTATATAATAATATATTATTATTTGTCGTTATTATATTTCAACCGCAATACGGTTTGATCGTTTTTTTTTTTTTTTTTTAAAAATGAATCGGGTTTAATGTAATACGTTTAAGCACCTGGCCGAGATTTCATTTGTGGACGGATTTTTACGTACATTTGTAGCAGTCTACGGATAGACCGCTACGGTTCGCGTCAAATTATTTGCTATTCCTATCAATTGTTGTAAAGGTCGGATGGAACTGTGCGCAGCTTCGGTAGGTAGGTAGGTAGTCTGTTTTTATTTACTTTAAACCGAACGAAAATATTGTGTACTCGAGGCAGCATAAATACAGATGGGGAGCGCACGGACGGCGTGTGTTTATGACCGCGTTGTTATTAATTTACGCAATTCAAGACCTACTGACTCAATTGTTGGCTGTAGTCATTAATTAAAACAACACAGGTATTGCGGCAAGGACGTGTATATATGTGCACCGTACCGCGGGTGCGATGTTCGTATAAATTTGAATACCATTTCAGAGTTTTCATTAAAATTACAATCTCGGGCGCACTCTGTTCATAATTTTTCCAAACGTAGTTGTGTACTGCGACCAATGCACTTGGTACGCGAAACAGCTGCACAACGCGTTTGTATTGTATATAAATGCAAGCGATGCGCGAAAATATTATGCACGGTACAAATGGATTAAGTCGTTCCCATATTATTATTACACCTGAATGTATGATTTTGCAAAAGTGCAACAATATGATTCTACGATTGAAACTGAACTATTTCCACTGAAGTCCACTAATGTTCGTATACCGCGTACATCAGATTAGTGATTGGCAGAAACGACCAATCTTTATTACCGACTGTTTTCATCACGTACTACCGATTAATATAAATTCGATTGTTCTACTTAGATTTGTACGAACAACAAATTATAAATTTTAAATGGTTTATACATCGTTGATATTAGTTGACTAGTAATTAAATTGATTCATATTGGTTGCGTAAAATGTAATCGAGTAATTATTATTCGATTACATTTTACGCAATCAATATGAATCAATTTAATTATTAGTCAACTAATTCGACTAATAATCAATCGACTAAAATTTCGTTTGACCGTTTTGTTAATAGATAACTGACCAGCGACTGAGTACTTACTGCAAAATGCAGTACCGGACTAATTTTAAGAAATTTAAAAATAGCTTCCTTCGTAGTCGAATACTTGTAGCCCGTAGGGCTAATCAAAACTAGTCGTACAAAATATATACCGATAATGACACAATAGCAAACTATAATACACAAAGATATATTGTAGAAGTCAATATTGGTGGACTTTTTTTCTGAATCTGTACAAAAAACATATGCAGATCGGTCGTTTTAAGAAATTATGAATGCAAAAATAAATAGAACACATCCAAAAAATGTACGTATATTAATATTTTTAAATAAAAATGTATAAAACTTATAAATATGTATACTAAATTTAATTAATGCAATTCACGTATATAATTATTTTTTCTGTATTAATAATATTGTTAATATTATGTTATGGGTTATGTTAATGGTGTTATTGGTTTTGCTTTAATGTTTTCTCTATTTTATATTTCTAATAGAGTTCATGTTAAAATTAGTTATAATCCTTATTGTTAAGTACTAAAATGAGTAAAAAAAGTACGTTTCGTTAATGGTTAATCGAATAAAAATAAGCCAAGTAATAAAAATCTGTCGAATAACATATAATTAGTCTAATGACTAATTATACCACATAGGGTAACTAAATTAGTCGCACACGGTACTACCGACTAAGGTGGTAGGAATCAAACAATTCAGCCCATCACTACCCGTGACGTGGTAACTAAAAATCAGATCCTGGTGCAGTTGCATTAAAACACATCCCACGCATCCTTACAAGAATAACGTGCTCCCCTTAAACTGTATTCTGTGCACTGTATAATATTGACCAACAATTTTTTCGTATAATTATAAATAATTTTCGACGGTTGTCACTTGTAAATGTATTATAAGCAATAATATACCGTACATTTCTAGGGCCGGTGTAATTGCATCAGGTTAACACACGTCACCACGCCACTGATCACTACATCAGGTGTGTGACGGGTGCGCGATTACGTTTTTTCCACGACGTGCGATTGTTGAATATCAATTATTCCTCGTTGTCAACATGTTCAAAATATACCTAAATATCTTCAACAGTGCATTCCTACCTTCTGGTCAGCTACCACCTAAGGTCGTCCATGGGTACTTTCGACCAGCCTAAATGAATATAAGACGTATACATTTAGATAGATACGTTATCGAAAATTATTGAAATATCGTCGCTCATCATATACATACAAATGCGAATCCGTTTGATTTTCACGCAAGGATCAATAAGCGAGTGACATTTTATTGTACGTATATTTTATGTTATACGAACGGGAGTAGTGTTGAAATTCAATTTGAAAACCGTAAAAATGAAAATCGATAAACGCGTACGGTAAATAAACCCAAATTGTGTAAGCCGGGAACCGTCTCACAATAGAAAATATATATAATGTTAAATATGTGTCTAAACCACATCTGTACTATATATATATATATATATATATATTATATGTGTGCACGTGTGTTTACGGGTGACTGTGTGTGTGTGTAAATGTGTATAATCATACCGGACGAGGTTTTGGAAGTTTGAACGATATCGTCGTGAGCAGGTACCACTATATATACGGACATTATACACCTTATATTACTTACTTATATTTACCTATCTCTTTCTATTTCCCTCTCTTATATATAAAAACGTGCGTTTGAGCGAACGCTGTGGTGGTGGCGAAGCGTGTTTTTAAATGAATTATTCAACGGAATATAAGTGTGCGGCCGATTGCTACCACGCCGGGTATAGAACAAAGGGCGTGGTTAACAGAAAAGCAATACTTTTTCTTTAATCTTGACGGTGGCAACGGGAAGGGGTTAAAATTTATTCCGACAAAAGCCAACAGAACTAACGGTTATATTGTATAATGTCTTCTCGCACATACACTCGCAGAGTTTTCTCCGGATAGGGTGCTGAGAGAGCGAGGGTTAAGTCGTTCGCGGAAAAAGAAAGATGGAAAAGGAAGAAGGATATATAAAAATACAAATCTTCGTCCTCGTGTACTTTATTCAAATGCTGTATACACTTTTGGTTATACGAACACAAACGACGTTAGACGATTCAACGAAGAAATTAGTCGAACGGATCGAATCGCTGGAGCGATAATTCACATAAATATATACCTATCGGTATTATAATACCCAAAAATCAGATACTCGAGTACAGGATGATGATTTTTTATAAATCGGATCTAGGTAATATAACATAATATCCAGACAGTATAATCCATAGGAACATATATATTAGTGATTTAAGTATTTGGTTTTTAAAAAAGGTGGAAATTTCGATTTTCAAAATATAACGGTTTGAATAATATTATAATTTCACTCCTGTAAAGGGGATTGTTTTGCTGGAAATTTCCATGTTAATCGCAACGCGACCCTACGAAAATGTTACGAATATAAGTAAAATATTACATTGTACAATATACAATAAGGGAAATAAATTGAAAGAGACTCCGGTGGGCAGAGCATGCGTGGAGAAAAGAGGAAACATTAGTGGCAGACGGTTCGCGATGTTCTGCAAAGAAAGAGACCTTTTCCGCGGCCGAGGCGGGAAGACAAAATCGGGAAAGACGCGTGAAATGTTGGTTCCAAATGTCGATCGGTATGTTTTGGCAACGGGCAGGGAAAAGTGGCACGGACCATGTTTGAACGTATGATCCGAACGGTCGATCGCGAGGCAGAAGAAGAACGAGAAGAACTGTGATCCCGAACAACGTACGATTCGCATTCTAAGGGCTAAACAGGAACGTCGTGCGTGCGCGCACAACACGGCGTCAAAAACGATAATGTTATAAGACTTATACGGTATACTCGGGTAAGTTAGTATGCTCGAGTAT